TGTGCCGGTGTGGCAGAGCACTTTTAGTGCCTGCCACTTTAAGGGCCAGAGCAGGCAGCAGACTGCACTGCTAGTCAGGAGGATCACATGGCTGGCAGGAGGCTGCCTGATTGGAAGGAGGGCCTAGCTGCTAGGGAATATGAGCAGGCTCTGAGCAGTAGAGCCAACAGTGGCTGCAAGAAGCTGGAGCACAACTGGAGCTGCTGCTCTCAGAACATCTGGAGGTACAAGGCAGGAACTATGGGGATGGAGGAGGTTCCTGGTCCTGGGGAATAACCTAAAACTATACCCTGCTGGGTTTGGACGGTGTGGTGGGGCTGCTTATGGCAGGGTAGTTTCCAGGAAATGCCACACCTGTGCCTGCCCAGTGAAGGGTGAGTATGGGGCACCAGAAAGCCTCATCCCTCACTGCCTTGCAGGTGACCCTGTGGAGGGGAAAGGCTAGGGGAGCACACCCTGAGAGAAAAGCACAGGGGCCCAGGCCCACTCAGTGGGTCCTGAGGCCTGAGTGGGCCATAGGCCAAGAGTGGGGTCCAGGCACATCTACAGAGACACCTGAGGCCTGCAGGGTATAAGGCCCCATAGCTCCAGTGAGGCAGCAAGGTGATGGCCCCAGTGAGGGGGCATATTGTGTGTAGTAGGCCACACAGAGTAGGGTTTGCAGAGGCAGTCTGAAGGGCTGTGCATGACAGCATAGAGTAAGGACTATGTGATCTGAAGGGCTGCGCATAGGCCAGCCCCAATAGTTTACTGATGTAAGCCCCTGTGAGGGGGCATGAGTTGAGGCCCCAGTGAGGGAGTGTAATGGCCAAGGTAAGTCTCCGGATGCCTGAAGCTGAGTTTTAGTGAGAGGCTGAGTGGTATGGCTCAGCAAGGGAGCTGGGGGAGTAATAGTGGATAGTTTAGTGATTTTTTTTTTTTGGATGCCATCTGTGAGGCATATGACATGGTAAAGGGGAGGTTGGAGCGATGTATTATGCCCTTGGCATCAGGCATTAAAATGGGCAGCCTCCCACCTTGTTAACATCTAATTGGTTTCATCAAAGGCGAGGCAGGTGAGTGGACTGCCCTAGGCAGGTGGGCGTGCTGACATTGTGATCAGTTTTGAGTAGGCCCCCTGACACAGCAGGCCAGGGTGGGGATTTAAACCCTTCCCTAATCAGAGCATCCTGCTGGGGCCTGGCCACACCCCACCCCCCCAGCTCAGCAGTGTGAAAAGGATGGGAGGGCTGCTCTAGCACTCTCCAGCTTTTAGCCTGAGCCACTGCAGGCATGTGCCTGCATTTTCTTAGTCTAGAGGGAATGTCTATGCAGTTGCAAACTGGTTCAATCTAGGCAGGTTAAACTAACCTGCAAAGATTGAATCAATTTAGGCTCAGGCTTTCTGAATGTCTGTCCCTAGCCTTAGAGACCAAAAGACCACTGGGACTGATGTCTCTTTTTAATTCTAGTTTTGAAATAAAGAAATATGTGAAACCAAGTAGTCACTGCTTCATACATTCCTGTTGTTTCTCACACCAGGTGCATGTGACCTAGTGGCAATAGTGGCTCCACAGTTGTCCCTTTGAAAAGCCTCAGTGCCTGCTTTGTGTCTGAGCAGCACAGCTAAACAGGAGAGATGCAAAGCTAATCATATGAAGAATGGAGCAGAGGAGAAATCCCAGCAACTTGAAAAACAGAGGGGAATCATAGTATCTGTCTGACTGGTATCTGTGAACTTCGTTTTTCAATAAGTTGCAATGATAAGGCAGCTTGGCCCAGATGAAAGATTTCAGTTGGGTTGCTAATTGTAGGTAAGCAGACAGATTCTCATAGCAATGTTATTTCCCTGGATTCCAGCTCCCAGAGGTAGAAAGAGGAAAGAGTAGGGGAGAAAAACTGCAAAGAAAAGGATGGAGGAAGGGAGAGAGAAAGAGATGAAAATAGAAAAGAAGAAAAGAAAGAGATCAAGTTAACATGATTGGCAGAAGAGAGAAAGGAGAGAACTGAGGAGGCAGAGAGGAAGAGGAAAAGAAAAAGGAATGCAGGACAGAAGCTGCCTGGACAGAGAAGAATCCTTTCTCAAAAGGTGTCAGCAGCAAGGTGGGTAACCACAGAAAATTAGAATTGACTCCACCTCTACTCACTTCAGAGCACTAATCCCACAGGAATTTTAAGAGGCAGACACCAATCTCCCTCTCCCTGAATGGGTCTAGATCTCCACCAAAGGGTTTCTGCACCTCCAGGAGTGTGGAAAAAAATACTGTACAGAGGCAAAATCCCCATTTTCCAGAGCCAGTATAGCACAGTCATGCAGTCTTCAGTGCCCAGAACCATAATAGACTAGAATCAGAGAAGGGAATAATGATAACAGCAAAATATGCTTGCTGACAAAGGGGAAGTCATGGGCAGAACACCTGGAAACAGTCTCTTACAGTCCTCAGTCAGTCTTGGACAGAAATATCCATAGACCTTTCCGCAGATGAAGAAATTATTCTCTCTGTATCTCATTTTATTCAACGAGTTTTCATCAATGACTAATACTTTCAAAGTTAAGAAAGCAATCGGAAATTGGAAAAGCAGAAAAGCTTGTTTTCCTGTAACAGTCTGTGAGAGGATGAGATCTACTACTACTAAAATCTTGAAGAACATGGTGATTAGAAACACTTAGTTAAGCTCCCTAATTACATATAAATCCTCCATGTCTTAATATATTAGTTCTGAATATAAACCATTTTTTGATGAGCTGACAGGAAAAACAATGTATGCAGTATATTTAAGATTGTAAAAATTGATAAAAACATTAAATGCTGTTTCTGTTCATTTTAATTCCAATTCCTATCCAGTTCAAGCTGGGCACAAATCATAAGTAAAAATTAATCATCTAGCAAAGATGGAACCTGGCATTTGGCATTTTCTAACATAATTCAAATGAAGGGTCTGAAAAAATGTAAGCTGAGCTATGTGATTTTTTTTTTAATACTTTAGGATAGATACATGTGTAACCTTCTGAGTAGCAACACTACAGTACATGTACTAGAAATGCTATTCTTAGTTGCAATTCAACCTTTTGATGGTTAGCAGCCAATCAGAATCATCCTGTCTTTAAACAAATGACTAGGAAAATACCAATACAAAACAAGATTAATTAAATAAATATAGTGATTTAAATAATTTATTTACATCAATCTATTCCACCCTTGCCAGTGCACTGCAGCCTGAGCCTGCTGTGAAGGACTCTGGGTATGTCTAAATTGCAACTGGAGATGTAATTCAGCACTGGTAGGCATATCCCAGCTACCTTCCTTCCAGCTATCATGGCTAATAGTGCAGTGAATATAAGGAAACATGGATGCGAGTGCAAAGATAAGGAAACATGGATGGCAGTGCAGGCTGTAAAAGTTGTCTGGGGACCCTTGATCCATTTTTGGCACTAGCACATGCTAAAGCCCATGCCACCATGTCAACTGCTGCTGTTCCCTGAGCTATCTACATCAAAGGTAGTAGGGGTGTGCCTACCTGTACACTCACACCGTCCAAGTGCAGACCAGGTACACCCTGAGAAACATGGTTAAGAGTGAACAATAATGTTGGAGCCTCTTAACAATGAGGATCTGCTGAGTTTTACTAAGCAAGCAGAAACAATGATACCATGCACAAGTAGATGCAACTTTTAATCTGCCCCAGGGCCATCAATATTCACTAGCCACTCTCCTATAACTGCCTAAGCAGGTCTACTTATTGCTGTCCAACAGAATGTCTCCTGCTGCTTTAGCATAGTCTAGGTGGCAAACAAGCCCAGGGCTGGGTTTCACTGGTCAAATTCAGCAACAATATAGATGGATCAGAAAGAGGGTGCAAGTGGGAAAGCAGTGTGATGTGCACCAAAGCAGCTTTCTCTAAGCAACACAACTCAGACTTGCCATCAAAGGGGCAGCAGCTGAAGAGCAACTAATGCAAGGGGACACTGCATAGAAGAGGGAACCCCTCCAGGTCTAGCATTAATTTGCTGTGTGAGTGACAGGCACATGTTACACAATTCAATTATACATTGCTAACATGATAAGTTTGCATCTCAGTAGATATAAAAAGTTCCAGGACAAGGCTCTGCAGTGTCTTTAAGATTGTTCCCCCATCTTCATTTTTCATTACCTAGCTCTGCCTGTTACACTTATTTTCTGACCAGCATGCAGCACCTGTATTTACCTGCTGGTTTATACCAGGGCATGATATAAATCTGGCCCAGAGACTTCTGTAAGGGAAGGACCTATTTATACCAGGTTTGAAAGCAGCTTTATGTAGCCAGAAAGTGACATGATTATTACAGATGTCACACGCCCTCAAGTTTCACTGCTGTCCTTTAAGAGTTTCTCACACTGTCATTGACAAGTATAATAACCACAGTACAATGCTTGTAAGAAAACCATCTGATCACTTCTGTAGTATTTACTATGTGAAATTTATTGCGAGGCTGATCCGGCTCCATACAGAGTGACTCATTTCCCTGTTCTGCAATGCCATCTTGCAGCAGAAGAAGGGAAAGCACCACTCAAGGCAAAAAAACATAGAAATGTGAACCTGATGAACATGACATAGTTTGAACTACGGTTGCAAATAGAAAAAGTAGGTTAATATAACATGATGAAGATATTTGGTTAACACTAGAGAATTCAGGTCTAGGGAA